AGCATCGGGGAAGAGCAAAGCAACAGCACGTCGTGTTAGTCAGGCTCGCTGGTAAATCACATTCCTTTACACCATCATGGACGGGCTCTCTTTGCCTGGTAATCGAATTTTTTCTCTATCAAGTTCTAACGGATTTTAATCCATACTCGGTGATTATTTGGGAGGGCCTGCAGAAGTCACTGCTCCCTTTCCCCCCCTGCAGCTCTCGGGCGGGACACTGCACAGGCTCCTGTGTGCCCGAGGACTCCCGCCTCGAGAAACGCTGGTTTCTCTTCACCAGTATCTCCCCACCAGCGATATCAACCCTGGATTCTCACCCTCGGGCTGTTCTTGTCTGGCTTCTGCAGTCATCACCCCACGTTAACAGGCAAAATCCGGTCAAATGAGGGAACTGCCCTCCCCAGCATACACTGGGAATACAGTAACTACCTTTCCCTGTGGGACAGCAGGACATTTTCCACTCAGATTTCAACTACTCGCTGTAGGCTCCAGCAACAGTTGCCTACAACAGCGAATGCTCTTGTGCCTTCAAACCACCATGTGTGCTTATACATTGTGGGTCCCTGCCCAGGCACAGGCACTCCGAGCTTACAGCACTGATCACTAATTAAACTTCCTTATGCTCCAATTATGTTTCTCAGCCATACGCTGCCTCCATCCCAGATACACAAAAACATTTTCTGAGCTTCATCAATCTATAACTAGGCTAAACTGGCTGTTCACAAATAATAAATTAAGGTGGGCTCTAAAGAATGGCAAATCTCATCACACATACATGTCAAATAAACAAATATTAATACTGAAACAGGAGGCAGAATTTAAAAAAATCTTGAAAGTTTAAACTAATTCTTAGAAACACGAAGCTTTTCCATATTATATTTGTAAACAAAAATCTTTGCATCAATGCTGCTTTCAGCTACATAACACCACTTTGCTAGTGTCACCATAATTTCACCATAGTTAAAAGGCAAACTGGATCCCTTGGGGTTTCTGTTAATAATTAGACATAAATGGAAGAATTTTAAACACACATTCACTGACTCAAGGAGAGCAAACTGACTTATCAAGATTGTAGTTTACATTACCTAGCTCTAATGTTTCTCAGCCCTTGCACACTAACCGCAGTTTTCCAACAGTTCCTATCTAAGGTACAATAGTTTTGCTCCACAAGCTACTAACACAGAACGATTTTGCAGGTATTCTGAACATAGTTTTTAAACTTAATAGTGCTGCTCCTATAAATTACAAAACAACTTTACCAGCAGGTGTGACGTATAAATCAATACCCCTGTTTCACTGCATTAACAGAGACTAACTGTTAGCAATGACTAACGCAAATCCACATTTTCTCTTCTAGCTGAAATAAACTTCCACTTCAGGCAACACTGAGCTGTATTTTTGTATGGGATTTGGGGATTTTAATATGCGTGTAATGCTGGTTGGAATTATGACAAAAGAATTACAATTTTGCTGCTGGGAGAAAAAAAAAGGCCTAATTCTTTACTGCAGTCATCCAGTCTGGCTTACAGATACAGTATGAAATTACCACATTGACATTTAAAAAAAAACAAACCAAACTTCCTTCAAGCTGGCAATTTAAGAATATGTGGAACCTCTGTGACACAGCCAAGTTCCAAAGAATAACTCCATTAAATCTGCAGGCATGTTTTCTCTCCCTACTCCCCAGGGAAACTAATGGAACACCTCTTTCATTATTAGAAGATACTCAAAACTATATTACAGTAGCAGTATGTGAATATAGGACACATCTAGATGACAACATTTTACGATTTGGTAAAATACAATCTCCCTGAAAAATTAAAAGTTATTAGAATACATTATCATCAAACCTGGTCATCCAGGTTCTGTTTGCGACTCTGCCGCTGTTTTAAAGTGGGACTTTTAGCAAAATAGTTACATCCCCATTTTAAGTTGGCAGCTACCAATACTTCTCTTCCTCATACAACTGAGGACACACAGAATCAAGTTAAGCTCTGGTGCAGAAGCAGAGACATCCAGTGGAGACAGTTACATCATGGATTAACTTCTCTTTTTGTAAAGTGCATGGTATAATCAGCATGTCCCAAAAGGAAAAATGGACTCAAAATGAGCCTTTTGAAAGAGATACAGAGTAAGAGCAGAATGTCTTGCACTAAGGTTATGTATTTAACAGTTTTACATGAAATATTTATATATAAAAACTTTAAGTGCTTTTCTCCAATTTAAAAATCTAAAGAATTCAAAAATAAGGCATTCAATATTTGAAAAAGTACAGATTTACAAAATGTGTATATTCCGTCATGAAAACTCCACACCAACATTATACACTTGGAAAAAAAAATACAAACAGGATATATTACAAATTTATGTAGCAATAACTTAGTTCATACCATGCAATAAAAAGTACGTTAATCAAGATACACAAGCTTTTAAGTTTCCTAAACTGGAGGGCTTAATTTTGTTTGCAAATGAGTTTTTATGCAAATTCTTAAAACTGTGGCACTTGCAATTTCTGGTAGCCTTTCTATTGTAAGTTAAATTGTACATAATGATTATGAGGATGGAGAGTAACAAAGCAGCTGTTACGAATCATTCCAACTTTGTTCAACAATAGCTGAAACTCTTTTCTCATATTCACGTTTGTTCTCCTGATACAGTTGTGCCGCCTGACTGTTTGCTGGACTGTTTGGATTCGGTTCATCAAGCAGAGACTGTAAAAAGGGGAAAACAAAACGTGAGACAAACCAACCCATTTTAAATCAGGGAAAAAACAACTTACAGCTTTCAAATTGCATGTGTTTCAGGAGGCAGATGCGACTCAGAAGAGCCCAAATGAAAAAAAAAAAAACAAAAAAACCCAAACAAAACCAAACAGTTAAACTCATGGTTAGGCACCCATAATTACACTACTGAACCTCAAATTACACACTGCATAAACATTAGCACTGCGTACACTTCTAGGTTCACAAACCTAACAGATACGTGGTCATTTGTGCCAGTTAGCAGTATGATGCTAATTGATTATTTGGTAATTACACTACTATTGTCATTTAGACTTAAGATGCCTCCTACAAAACTTCACTGTACAAAAATAAAAATAATCACACAGGAGAAAAGAAAATGCACATTTTTGCTGTGCCAGGCCATTTTACGTATTTCAAGTAAAGTAGGTTTCAGCAGTATTGTCTCCTTGAGGACTCAAGGGCAAGGCTTCACAATAAAGGTTAGTGTTTCAAACACTCAGCAAATTTCTGTATCTGATGTCCTATCTTGACTAAAAACAGTTAAAAAGGAATCCAAATCAGTAACTATTTTCCTGTAAAAACCATCTAATGGCAGTTTTGTAGCTCAAAATTAGTAATTGCATAGGTCAGAAGCTTAGACTTTTTTCATCTGAAAAGCTGCTGCTTAGCTCAGAAGTATATGAAGTCCCCCTTGATACAGATACCTGCTAGCCACATCACTGAGCTGTGTATTCTGGAACAAAGACTAATATCATCATAATTACTTGCTGAAGTAGATGTAAAGTTACCTGAATTGAAGTTAAAATAGATGAAACATCATACGTTGGACTCCAGCGATTCTGAAGAATATCTAAACATATGCTACCATCCGCATAAACTGTAAATACAACATCGGTAACATTTAGAAACTCTTCTGTTCATTACATACTGTTCAAGGCAGAGTTACTGTTCCAATTCAGTCTGTGCTTAAATTAATGCTTTAGGAAAGAGGACAGCAGTTGTATCTGACAATTTGCTGTAGTTTGACATCTTGTATTTTCAAGGAGATGTATTACTGGAAGTAACAGAACACTCAAGAGTAGAAGGAAGGAAGGTGTAAAGATTATAGCAGTAGCACAGGAACTGGCAGACTTGGTTTCTTGCTGCTCATGTGTGGCTGGCCCAGATACACGCAGAGCTGAGGCCTCCCAGGGAGCAGCGAGCCATTTACTGCAGGAGTGGAATCCACTGCCCCAGCTGAGGATCTTGCACTCTGAATGGACTCACTGAACAGAGGGAGTTCTCACATATTCTGCACTCACTACACTAACAGAGACACTAAGGCAGTCAATAGAAAATACTGAACAGTGTGCCTGAAATCCTACCTCTGCTGGATACCTATCAGCAGTCTTAATACAAGAGCCTGTATCAATCAGATTCACCACGCAAACTCCTACACCTTAGTCTTCTAGCTTGCTCATGCCAACAAAAACCAACAAATTACAAAAATCCTGTCGGAGGCACACTGGCCTGCATATTACATGGCAGATGAATGGTTAGACAGCACTGTAAAAAGTCACAGAAATGAAGCCAAGGTCACCTCTGTTCAAGGAGGGCTCAAGCTAACAAGAAATGCTGCAATGGGCTTATGCTTCAACCCTCAAATTGAATCTATGCCCCTCTTTGCTACACAGGGGCTTGGCAAAAGGCATGGTTTTTGTTTCCTGCATGCAAGAGTAACTGGATAAAACTTATCAAGTGCTGGAGCAGGAACCACGGTGCGCCCTTATAACGCTGCCCTCATCACTGAGTTCGGCTCAGCCGCCTCCTCCTCCACGCTCCCCTACGACTGGGCACTCTCACCTTCCTCCTTGTGCTGGTACTGGTTGGTTCAATGAACCAAACAAAGAACTTGGCTAAAATCTTGCCTGACAGAAATAGATAACGTTTGGCTCGATCAGTTCCCTACTCCAATTCACGATGTGGCTGCACATGCACAATTGCTGTTAAATGGCAGGGGGCAGGAACCTGCAACCAGAATTGCCTCTGTGCGCTAACCTAAGTGTGGCTGCTGCTGAAAATGCTCACAGGCTTTGCTACTGCGGCTATATATTGATTAGAAAGAGACAGATAGCAGCTTCTTAACAGCATCATAATTCTTAATTTTTCATGAAGCAGTTGCTGTCCTAGACATCTACTTAGGAGGTGGCAATAAAGAGAGATGGAGAGCTGTTAAGCATTCTGGAGCTTTTCAGAATACATGACCCAGACCACACTACTTAATGGGTATTATGGCTAAATAAAAATTATTTACTCACCATTTGGATGGAACATTTTTGATAAAAACCTAACAGTTGGAGGCTTATTTGGATATTCTTCTGAAAATTCGATTACTAGTTTAAAAGTACCTGTGCAAACAAACATAAAAACAATCAGATAACTAACAACAAAGCAGCACCTCCAGGAACATATACAACATAAGTTAATTTATGTGCTCCATGATCAGTATTTCTCCTCACCATTATATGTAACAAACAACACTGAGTCTTGTTTATTTTCATGTATTTCAAGTGATAATGGAACTACGGAACTACTACTTAGTGATAGTAATAAAACTAGCAGCAGCAGCTAGGTAGAAGCTTGGAGACTCACTGTTTACATGGCAAAGGCAGCTCAATCCAACATCAATTATCCCACTGCCCTCCCCTTTTTCTGTGAACCAACATGCTGATTCTATGGACTTCCATGACTTTAAGGCGTTTCATTAAGAAGGCACTGTAGTGCCAGCAAAGAAACACTGGAATTTCACAATCGGCAATCTCAGTCTTTGGAGCTCAAGACTGATTCACTGAAAACCTTTATTATGGATCAGTGAATAATTTGAAGTTACTCCTCCAACCCAACACAGAGAAAAACCCATCTGCTGCCGATTACTGCAATAATACCGTAATTATTAAGCTCATTATTCTTCATATGCCTAAAGGCAGTTCATTACACACCAACTTTCATGTTTATGTACAAATTTGGTATTCCTTCCCCCTCACCGAGTTCTATATTCGGAACAATTCAAGATATTTCACCTGTTCTTCATTAGAAGAACAGAGATGAATCAAACGTGCCACAAACATGAAGTCAGAAAAAGTACAGACTTCTTAAGTTCAGCTGTAGAGATGTGAAAACACATCTGGCAGCATTAGACCAACTTCCCTCACTAAAAGCTCTAGTGTTCTATGTATAAACAAGTCCTGATATAAGCATTGCTTCGTAGCTTTCTAACCAACCATCGACCACTATGACAAGACATTGCTTACATGAAAATACAGTATTTTTATAGCCAACAAGACCTTTCTCCTTCACTTGCTTGCTTAGTTTGTTCCAAATTTTATACAGATAACATCTATTATTTTTTCAAAGCAGAACAATGTTAATATTAGCAATATTTGGAAGAATGACAGAGGATATGAAAGTTAGCTGCTTACCATCTTCAAAAGGTGTCCCTTCTGGCCTGAAAGGTTTTAAAAATAAACTCCAGTTAAAAATTATCATTACCTACTTCTAAACAGGCACAATAAATGCATATCTTCTTCCTCATCCTCCCCAAGATATAGGTAGAGGAAATAATATAAATATTTAGAGAAGTATCCAGAGGCAACCTCCGAGAGCTTTGTCATATGCAAGACACTTTCCCATAGTCAGTCTGCTAGTCGAGAGATCTACTTTTCATCAACCCAAACGATACATATGCCATTACGTGACTAGATTGGAATTAATAAGCAAATTACTAGCAAGCATACTGCAGTTTTATGAAAGGATACTAAGCCAGTTCCTGTTCTGTAGGATATGTAATATAACTTCCTAGACAGAACCTGTACCTCCTTCCACTGGGAATGAATCCAATCACCGCTAATACATCTGGATTTAATGGCCACAAACGTGCAGCTCTTATGTACTTTAAAGACGAAGCCTGCTTTTTCATACCCCAACTCCTACACAGTCTAACCTATTTATTAAGCCATATGCAAACCTTATTCAACAAAAAAGATGAACTGATTTTAGATTTTTTTTTTCCCTACGCACTCTGTATTGCCCCTGAAAAGACATTTTTACCGCAACTGCACACTTGGTCATTTTTCTAAATTTCCTGACTTCTATGTGCATAAAGAAGAGAATCACTGTAAAAACAAAACCCAGGTTTTGTTGTATTTAGCCCTTTGATAACAGAATTTTGCAATGATCAAAAACTCTTACCCAAATATAACTGCATTCCATTGCATTATATTATTCTCAGATGGTGCACCACTGACACCCACAGGAGGGTCTTCTTGCAATCTAAGAATTACAAATATAGAATGACAAGCCTTATATAAATGAAACACTTCCACCTGCAAGTATAATTTAACAGTAATATCCAGATTTTGTAAGTATTTTCTCATTTTAAATCAGAGCACACAAAGCATTACATGCAGATTATCTGTACTCCAAAAGACAAACCCACAAGACAACACACATCAAGGTTTTCTCATGTTTTACACTACAACAGCCTAACCGATTAGATTAAGTGTGCAGGGAGCGAAGCATAAACTGTAAGAATAACTTAAAGCACTACACACAGCTAGGATTTACAGTACTACATAGCGAACTATGAAAGACCAGTTGCTGCTAGTTGCCACAACGAAGAGGAGAACAAATTGCAGCCACAAACAGGAGCTGAACACCAGCCAGTGACGCTTGCACAGCACACTTGCTGGGACTAAGCACAAGGGATAGCCAGTGGAACTTTTCCTGCTTTCCCACATTCATGTGCACAATATGGTTAAATTTGGTGTAAAGCCTCTTTTGACTGGCAAGCCGATTGCTTCAAAATGGAGCAAGGGGAAAACCTGTGCACTGCTCCCTCTTACCAGTTCAACAAATGCTTTTATCTCTAAAGTAATCGTGTGAGCATTTTAAATTCTTTTTAGTTCCTTAATCTTTGGACTAGGGAAAAGCATGTTACTTACTGAAAGCCACATAAACTTGGACCAGACAGAAAGATGTACTGCAACCAAAGAATAGGATCCAGATACTCTCCTTCTGCCCATCCTTCTGTATACCAGTGCTTCTGCTTAAGGCTCACGTTAAGACCCGGAACAACGTAAACCAGCAAGCCCCAATCACCTGATGAGCACTTTGCCTGATCAAACCCCTTCAGTGACAACTCCTACTCCACTTCGCCTATTCAGCCTCTTGAGTTATACAAGAATAAAGAAAATGCAGTGACTGCCCTTGCTTCAAAAGCAATTCTTTAGGGTTAACATGAGGTTTGACCATACCACAGTACACTTACGAACAAGTCACCACCAAAAGCCCTGCAGACCAAGGGACAAACGCTCACTAAATGTTGCTGTCTAACTGTAATTTATTCAGAGCTGACACTGGTATGCAGCCAGTAAATTCTCCTGCACTTGCACTGACTTGGTCTGTGATAAAACTGCATGTGTACATAGATGCTGAGCAATGGCGTTGCCCTACAGAGACAGCCCAGCAGCATGGCATGCTCCACTTGCGGCCCAGATTCTCCTCTGAGCTCTGTGTTTACATCCTTGCTCTCTGAGCACACGCAGTTCAGATGGCTTAGTATCAGCAGCACAAACCACCTACTATTTTGGTCAGGGAGAGCAGGAACGGGACTTCTAACTACGCGACAGCCAGGCTGCACGCCAATAATAATGCCTAAGCATTCAGCCTGACAAATGCATCTGAAAGGTAGCTTTGGTTTTTAGATCACTTTAAAAGCTCATGTGCACCCTGCTGTCAAAGGGTCTAACTACAGAAAGGTTGTGGCGAGGACTTGAAATTAGACTGATCCAGTCAGGGCCTGGAAATCTTTAATAGCTAGGGAAAATGTAGTATTTGTAGCCCCTTTTCCAACAGGAAAAAAAGAATTAACTTTTCTGTTGGTTTAGTCAAACAAATCAGATGAGATACAAAATCTGTTGAACTGTTCTCTCTTCACTGCTCTTGACAATTACAGTATGCAAAAGGAGTTTATAGTTAACAAAGAGAATCAGAGTTCACAGCACATGGTCTGCTTTTTCGTATGAGGTACAAGTAACTTAAGGCTAAACAAATATTTAAGTTATGGTAGGAAAGGGAAAAGTAAAAAAAACCTGACATGAAAAAGCTGCCTAAGTTTTGGGGTATTAAAGTTGTCATATATTTGATAAATAAATTTACTTTGTGTTTATTTGGTTGTACTTTTCCACAGCTTTAAAGTCTTCTCTGCATCTCAAATTTCAAAATTATTAAACCAGCCCTTCTAAGACTGTAACATCATAAAAAACATGTCTGATTGCAATCCTGAAAAATTACTTAGCTCCTCACCCTGAAAAAACACTGGTTCATGTCATCTGTGTAACCTAATACAATAAAAAAAGACTGAGTATCCTGTTTTGATTTGAACAGGAATCAAGGAACACCCTCTTAGCAAACACCAACACCCAAATACAACAGAACAGGCAGGCTCCACATCTCAAAAATATCTACCTTTTGTAGACTCAGAAGTCAGGCTTTCACCACTGTAGCTTTATACGCAGTCACGTAAAGCAACTCCAATCGCGTCAACTGTTTACTAATATATTTTCAGGTTCTAGTATAACATAGCTACACTAAAAAAAGGGACACTATCAATGCTGACTCACCTCCAACAACTTCTGAGCGACTCCAGCCCAGAGAAATCGTATGACATATTGCAAAGCTTACAAAAGATGCCCCCACTTTTTTCCACACTCTCTAAGTGTGTTTACATGTCAGACTGGAAATAAATTATTCGAGAGTCTATGGTTCAGTCATTAACATTTAAAAGACTGCAACTAATAACTGCTTCTTTAGCAGTTTGTATATATTATACAAAAGACTCCTCTTGATTGAAAAGCTTAGACAGAATAGCATGCACATAAAAACATTAAAGGGCATTTTGCTTTTTATGACATGCAGGCAAACGAAGTGTTTGCTATTCTTTGTGCTTCGTTTTCAGGCGTCCATCCTGAATACTTATTTTTCGGAGAGACCGTCAAACACAGCTAAATTCTGCCCGGTCTCTTCACAAAACTGGGCCAAATACCCTCCTTATGCAGAAGC